TGTGAGCCCTGGCCTCTGATCTGCCTGCAGGCAAAGCTCGGGTTGTTCTTTATAGGGGGGCATCACATGTCCTGTAGGACTGAATTCAACTTTCAAATCTCATGTGTCCTTTCCCAGATCTTAGGATACCCGTGTGCCAGGGGTGAAGATGCTGGGGAGAAACTTATCTGAACAACTGCAAGGCACCAGAGGCCAGGCAGCTGCAACTTCTCACTAGGTTGCAGATGACTTTCTAGTCCCCTGCAATACCAACAGCAGCTCTTGGATCTCTTTGAAAAGGTGGGAGGTTTATTGTGTTGGTAAAACCAAGCTCTGCTGAATATTCATGTTTGGGTTTTTTTGTTTGTTTTTATTTCCCCCCCCCCCCAAAATTGCAGGTGCCTCAGCTAGGTGAGAAACACATTTATCCACCAAAAATCTACTTTAGCCATGATGTCAAGGCTTTGACCTGCACTACCTACAGATTTTGAACACTGGGGATAGCAGCAACCTCCCTGGGGCAGTAATTTGGTTGTGTTAGGAGGGCTGTGATGCACAACTGTGCAAGCAACAAAGCAAAGGGAAAGGGAAAATAAATGCTAATACAATTAGCAAATGGAAATGAGAACTACCGAAATATAAAGGCAGAATGGCAAATCCATGCCCCGGCTAGGGAAATGCTGAGCACACAGAGGAATAGGAGATGGGAACTCCTCTGTTGTCTCATCTATAAATGAAGCTTTTCTGGTATACCTCAGGCAATAAGCAGAAGGAACAGGGTAGTGCAGGTACTCGCCTCCAACGCTGTGGAAACAAGGGAATGGCTGATGTTTGAAGAGACACTAGCTGAGCTAGAAATTATTCCCTCATGTCAGATGGATGGAAACCTGCCACAGTCTGGATACAGTACAGCTAACAACTGCAGTACAGGATTTGGCCCAGCCTGATTCAAATGAACAAGATCTGTTGAAATGCTCTGTGCCCTGTGCTCTCACATATGTCACTGTCTCAGCAGCAGGGTAAATATCAGCAATGGTGAAACTACAGGTACAGTAGAAATGCTTCATCTCGGGGTAGTTGTCACAGGTCTTAGTGGTCAGATTAGAGTACCAGTATGGCTCCACTGGTCCCTTCTTATGAATTATTGCATTTATAGTCTTATCTGTTTTGAGTGCCAGTGGATGGGGGATTTAGGGATGGATGAGGGAGGGGACAGAGCCAGTGTCTGCTTGTCCTGGTAGATGTGAGGACTGAGTGTCCAAGTCTTTCCCTGAAGACACTTGGAGTTGTGGATACAAAACTTTCTAATATCAGGCCCCCAGCAGCTGTGAGAGAGGATAGAAGATGTTGCTGAAACAATTTAACAGCAAATTCCTCTTTTGTTCCATTTTGCTCTGCCTCTCACGCTATTTTGGGAGCAAACGTGTTTGCATAAGAGACACTTTGCAGTAGTTGTTTTATTCCTGCAGATCCATATAGCACTGGCACTTTTTTTCTTTCTTTTTTTTTTTTTTTTTGCAGCTTGCACTGTCTTTGGCAAAGGGATCTGTTGAGACAGAAGCTGCAGCTTGTCAACATTTCAATTTGTGAGGGACGGGATGGGAGGAGAGGAGAAATGGGGTCATGAACTGTCTTTCCACCTGGCCTCCCTGTTGCAGGTGATGGAGAACAGAGTGGAAATTCTCCCCACACTTTATGAGCCATGACCTCTTTTGTTTGTCCCCCTCCACATCATGTTGTGAGATGCAAACATGCTTCTTTATGGTCAGGAGGAAATCACGTATTGGGAAGTTGAATCCCATGAAAGACACCCCATAGAAAGGATCACAAAATTATGTCCTTCTGCTTTGAAAACCAAGAGATGATCTGCACCCCAGGGATATTGTCTCCTGAGCCAATTTTCAGCTCTGCAGTCTCTCTTTTCCACTTTTTCATTTGGGCTGTTTCTTTCTTGTGATGAGCCAAAGTTGCCACAGCAAGATCTGGCAAGTACTGCATTAAAAGCACTCTTTCAGCTCTAGGTAGAGATGACCATGTTTAATAGGACTATGCATGTAAAAAGGACAAAGAGATTCTGCTTCCCACTACATCTCCTGTGTGAGATTCCAGCCTTAGGAAAGGCCCTCTAATTTCTACATCTCTTTTTGCTATCTCTGCTCCCTACCCCTCAAAAAGCAGTATTTCTGAAGGACAGGACCAAGGTGCTTCTAGAAGTGAGTAGGATCAGGCAATATACTTGTCCCTACACCAGTCAGAGTTGACTGGCTTCCCACCAATGACCACTCTGACCAATTAGTGGCCAATACCTAGAATGGAAGCTGAGGAACACAACACAAGAAATGATGCCAACAAGGCAACAGAGGAAAGCCTTGGATGGAGGAACCTCCTCTGCTATAATCCCCACACTAAGGGGGAGGCTTTTTCAGATTATCAGGAACAATCAGATTTAATTGAAAAATGACAAGGAACTGGTGCAAAGCCACCTTCCTGGGGGAAGGTGAGGGATGGCTGAAACACTGCACTGCAATGCTGCAGCTTTACACCAGCTCAGGGAAAGACAGTGGTGAAAAACTGACATAGAGGTTCAGTCCCCTGTACAGATTTTCCGTCTCATTCATACATCTGTGCAAGTCAGAAGTATGTCTTCTCCTCATCTCTTGACAACACTTTTGTCGTCTCTTGTCATGAATAGAAAGGGTTCCCAAAATGAATGATCCATGCTGCTGAGCTGTTACTTTTCTACCATTTTAACCTGTTGGGCTGAGAGGCCTGGTATATCTAGGTAGGAGCCAGAACTGACAATAAATCCAAGCAGAGTGGTTAATTATGAACAGCCCCCCAGCATGAGAAAAGATGTCTTACTACAATGGGAATTAGATTCTGTCCCTGTGTTGCAAGGCAAACTGTGAATCCCAGGAAAATATCAGTTCAGTTCCTTCTGGACAAGGGTCCAGATCAGAAAAGTTTTCCTTGTTGGCATCCCAGCACAGAGACCAAGGAGGCCCTGGAGATGAACTCTCTTGTGCCTTTGAAATTCCTCTTTGCTGGAGGAGCTGATGTGTGGGGAAGTAAGTGCATACTTGCTATCGCCTGCAGTGAGGGCCTGCAAAGGCATCAGTCTCCAGAGCGGCTGTACTTGTCACCAGCCCAACATTCACATTGAAGATGAATAACCCATTGGGTTATGCAGTGTCCTGATAGCAAGAGTTGAGCAGTATCCACCAGGGACTGGTTCCATGTGCAGCTCAAGACATTATTTCCATCATGTGTAATTGTCAATGTGGAGGTCTGTGGTTGAATTAAACACTCAATACACAACACAGATGTTGCTGAGACTCTTGCTGAGATGAGACAGAGAATTTCTAAATACTGAAGAAAAGCAGGGGCAAGATTGTCAGGTTGATGATGGTTCAGGCCCTCCCCCCGCTGTGGGCCTGGATGAGGAGGCCAGTCCATGTGATTTCCTTCTTAGAATGAGACCTGCCTCCACAGCACAGATATGGTGAGCTTGGTCATCACAGGATGTGAAGGTGGCATTGCATTGGGTTCATTGGAAAGTCAGGTTGGAAGGGACCTCAAGCGGTGACATCCAGCCCAGCCCCCTGCTTAAGCAAACTGGCCCAGCCAAGGGTCTGTCCAGCCTGGCCTTGGAAACATTCAGGGATGGAGGTTTGACAGCATTTCTAGGCTAATCAGAAGTGGGGTGGGGACAATCCCTCTTTGATTCCTGCTCCACCTAAGATTTAAAACCAACTACCTGGGAGGGAGAGCAGCACATTTCTATTCAGTCAGTGCTGAGAGTCTGTTGACTTCATGGCTTATTGTCATCTCCTGAATTTCTGCTAATTTTTCTCCACTCCACAGCTGGTTACGACCCACTCTCCTTTTTAATGGTCTAGATGTTCCACTATGCACACTATCCTTTCTTTTGCAGTGTTGCTGTCTGCCAGCTCTTCCTGGGATTGTGTAACAGTGAGGTTGTTTCTGTGATGGTCCAGAAATGTGAGAGATAGGGATTTCTTAGGGCAATATCTTTTATTGTACCGACTATGTAGTACTTTGAAGTTCTCATAGTTGTGTTGCATACACAGAGTTGTGTGTGTTAGCTAGAGGACTGCAGCTGATGAGTCCCCTTGGAATGATGTTATGTTCCTTGCAAAGGCTTAAGAATATGTCACTGTTATTCCAAGTTTCTTCTGCATAGTTGTGCTGTATATAGTTGTGTATGACTGTGTTTCTTGCACAGAATCTGCAATCCTCCAGATATGGCCTGAAATCTTGTGGTTGCCACAGGAAACACTACAATGACACATTGAAAGCAGACCTCAAGAAAACAGATGCAATGTCAAAACCTGGGAGGAGTTGGCTACCAACCAACTCCAGTGGCGCCGCAACCTCAACCAAGCAGCAGCTTGTTTTGAGGCAAAGCATCTCATCCTTGAAGCAGAGAAGAGAGAATGGAGGAAGGAAAAGGAGAGAAATCCTGGCCTGTGGCCTACTCTCCCCTGCAAAAAGATCTTCAACTTCTGTGGACAGGTCTGTGGCTCAAGGTTTGAACTCTTAAGTCACCTCAAGACTCATCAGTGAGTTGTGGTAGGGAACATCCTCCAATTGAGGGGTTGCTGCCACCAACACATAGGAACATAACATCAGGCCAAGGTGACTCATAGATTAAATAGATTTTTAGGGTCAGAAGGGACCTCAGTACAGTAGATCATCAAGTCCGACCCCCTGCCCTGGGCAGGAAAGAGCGCTGGGTCAGATGACTCCAGCCAGGTGCTTCTCCCGTCTCCTCTTAAAGATCTCCAAGGTAGGGGAGACTCATCATCTGCAATCCTCCAGCCAACACACACAACTTCATATGTGCAACTCTGGAGTACAACACAGTTGGTCCAATAAAAGATATCACCCTAAGAAACCCTTGCCTTCCTCAGAATGGTTCTTTCACAGCCCGGCAGCCCATTTTCAGCTCTCGATAAAACCCTGAACTCAGGCACAGTCGCATGAACCCAGGTGTAGAAATGACTGATGAGGAAGTCCCAGAGGCCCATGGAGGCACTCAAGGAGGTGAGAGTTTCTTCTAGAAATTGGAACAAGAGACACGCAGGGGGTCATAATGGCTGTAGGACTAACACTGCAGTGGCTTTTGACTATTTTTACTGTATTTTCCCTGCTTTGCTCTTGCAAGGAATTTTAAGATGCTGCCTCAGGCACACTATGAAGCCTCTCATTTCTGTGCCACTGGAGAGAGATGGTGGTGCTGCCCGGGATGCTCAACACCCCCTTCCCAAGGTCCAGCTGTGCCTGTCTCTACGGTGCTCAAAGCCAGAGAGTCCCTCCCCAGCCCCAGCCTTGATGCTCAGACCCTCACTGCTAGCTTGGGCCCCTCAGGGTTGCAGAGCATGGGTGCCAGTGTTGCCAGCTCTTAAATATGAAATTATTGTATTAGAAGCTCAAATTATTGCACACTGAAAAAAGGTAGGCAAATAAGTCTTATTTGTATTTCCTTTATATTGATCACTGTAAGGGCCAGTGAGTGAGTGAGAGCTGGGTCATCAAAGTTGAAAAATTTCTTTATTTTGAGTCAGAGAAGAGGACTGCAACAGCAAAGAGTAGGCCGAGACAACTGGATTGGAGGAAAGCAGCAGCAACAGCAGCGGTGGGTCCACCAGTGGGAGCTGGATTGACAGCGGCAGCAACACGGACAACGGATGAACTGAGACTTTCAACCATGTAACTGGGGTGGGGATTAAGGGAGTGTGGTTTTGGGGTTGGGAGGCTGGTGGGCTTTTGCACAGGTGTGCAGGTCCGCAGGTGCGTATATTGTAACAGGTTTATGGTTTTCCTCTTGGTGCGTGTGAAAATGTGATGAAAGATGACTAGAAAGTATAGATGTATAGACATATATTTTTACAAACAAAAAAAATTCTTTATTTGGAGGCAAGTCATCAGGGGAAAGTGCTGACAGCAAACCCCAAAGTCAGTTCAGACTCCCTGAGAGTGACTTGGGCTTGGCATATGCTACATCAATTATTTGATCTAATAAAATACATTAATTTGTATCAAATTATTTATCATATAATTTGATCTAATAAAATAATTCATAGATTTCATAGACATTAGGGATAGAAGGGGCTTTGCGAGATCATTTGGTGCAGCCCCCTGCCCAAGCGGCAGGAAGTCAGCTGGGGTCAGATCACCCCAGCAAGACAATCATACAGGCGTTTCTTAAATTATTGATCTAATAAAATTATTTGACTTGACAATTATTTGATCTAAGAAAATAAAATAAGATCAAAATGACCCAACGAAACTTGTCTGTCAACCATGACTGTCCATTTCTGAACACTTTGATCACACAAGGGTTGACACGATGCTACAACCGACTTGGCATTGGCTGCACCCATGAGCATTATTTGATCTAATCCAATAGAACAAGAAAAATGAGTGGATCTAATAAAAGAGATCGGATTGGCCCAAAGAAACGTGTCTGTCAACCATGACTCTGCATTCCTGAACACCTTGAAGGGTTGACACGATGCGACCATCCCCGCACACTCACCAACAGCCCTCAGCGCCGCCCCCGCCCGCCAGGGGTCGCTGCTGCCGCAGAGCGCGAGGGGACACTCTACCCCGCCCGCGCACCGCGTCCTCTATGTTCTCGGGGGTCACTTCCGGGCCGCTCTGGCCCTGCGCAGTCGTTCGCAGCGGCGCCGTGGCGGAAAGATGGCG